CCCTCCCCGCCCGGGGCCGCGGCCGCCCGGAACTCGCAGCCTCGGCCGGCCATGGTGCAGATCGTGACGGTGAAGACCAAGCCTTACGGCGACCAGAAACCCGGTACCAGCGGGCTACGCAAACGGGTGACGGTCTTCCAGAGCAATGCCAACTACACCGAGAACTTCATCCAGAGCATCCTGGCCACCGTGCCGGTGGGCGAGCGGCAGGAGGCCACGCTGGTGGTGGGGGGGGACGGCCGCTTCTACATGAAGGACGCCATCCAGCTCATCGTCCGCATCGCCGCCGCCAACGGGGTAGGAACGCTCGGGGTTGGGGGTTTGGGGAGCTGGAGGTCACTGGTGCTTTGTATTTTGCGTGGCCGTGGCGTGGAAGTAAAGCCGCGAATGACACAGGAGCTGACGCAGCTCCGCTTGTGTTTCACGCCGTAAAAAAGAATTCCCCGGTGGTTTTACCTCCCTTTGATAAACAGATAAACTGGGGTTATTCAGCCTGGAGAAGAGGAGGCTGAGGGGAGACCTTATTGCTCTCTACAACTCCCTGAAAGGAGGGTGTAGAGAGGTGGGGGTCGGTCTCTTCTCTCAAGTCACAGGCGACAGGACGAGAGGAAATGGCCTCAAGTTGCGCCAGGGGAGGTTCAGGCTGGATATTAGGAAAAATTTTTTCACTGAAAGGGTTCTCAGCCATTGGAATGGGCTGCCCAGGGAGGTGGTTGAGGCACCATCCCTGGAGGTGTTCAAAAGACGGGTTGATGTAGTGCTGGGAGGTATGGTTTAGTGCTGGTGATGCTCCTTGTTTGTTGTGTGGGTGACTATTTTTGTCAGTTAGGTTGACGGTTGGACAAGATGATCTTTAAGGTCCCTTCCAACCTAGAAGATTCTGTGATTCTGTGATAGCTGGGGGAGCCGTCAGGCTTCTGCCAGTGCGGAGGTGGGATGTGAGTGCAGCTTTCCTCTTTCCTGCTTTTTTTTTTTCTTGCTTGGGGCCATGGTTGTGTTTTCCAGCTCCCAGCACAAACCAGTGGCACCGTGTGCTGGTGGGGAGGTGTGCTGGGTGGGGAGCAACAGTGTCTTCCACCACTCTGGTGTCTCGCTGCTGGAGACCTCATCCCTCTTGATTCCACTTGGCCCTGTCGCTTGGTCAGCCCCAGAGGAGCCCAGCAGGGACTGAGATGTTGGTAGGGGTGGCTGCACTGAAGCTGAATTTGAAAAGGGAGGCTTTTCTCTCCATTTGTTTTTTTCCAAATGAAAAACATACTCTTCTCTTGAGACACCTGATTCCTCCTGGTCTACAGCAAGCTTTCTTCCTCACAGACCAAGGGGAGAGCTGGGAATGCTTGGTGGTGGGGGTCACACGTTATGGTAAAACCTTAAGAATTGCCTATTTTGACTTCCCAGTGGCAGTCAGGTGCCTCAATGCCTTTAAAAGTCCAATTTCTTAAGAAAAAAATAAAATTAATTTGAGATTGCTGACTTCTTATGGCATAAAGAAGCAAATAACTGTTTCTTCTTAAGCCATGTAGGAGTTTATCTTCAGTGATTTGTGGTAGCTGGTCAATTTTCAGTCCATGTCCGAGCATCCCTTAACAGCACTGGCCTTGCTGTGATGGATAGTGCAGCCTTCCCCGATGGGAAAAGCAACAGACACTGGTTTATTTATTTTTTCTAAGAAGGGGTTGGAGTTGAAAGGTACAGCGTTCCCGCCTGACTGCACGCACAGACAGCACCTTACATTCCTGTGAATGAACAGACTGGGAGACTCGTTCCCTGGGATAAAGCTGTAGTTTGTGTGGGTTTTTGGATGTGTACCCGGGGCCTGGTGGGATGTGGCAGCCTTCCAGGCACCGAGGAGTTCTCCATCATCTGTGTCTCAGCTCAACTCTAGAAGCGAGCAGGGGCCCCAAGGTAGACCATGGTGGGTACTGATTAGGTAACTTCTTGGGAGGGGGATGAATCACTGCTCGAATCTTCCACCCTGATGGTGCAGACACTCGTGTATGTGCAGCACCACAGCACTGAGCTTTCTGTCAGAGTAGCAAAGGCAGGTCCCAAGGGGTGTGCTTGCTAATGGACATTTGCTGTGCAGAATTTTGTCCGTGTGAGTTCAAAGTGGTAAGATAGAATTGGCTGTGAAGTCAGAAAAATGTGCCTGGAAAGGCAAGAAAGGAAACAGGGAGGTAGAGGAACAAAACAAGTGGAAGAGTGTGGGTTAAGAGCCGAGACGCTAGTACATGAAGTGAAAAGTTTTACTTTAAAAGCTTTTTCTTTTGAGTAATTAATTTATAAAACAAGATAATGGCAGAGACAAAACGTTAGACTATTTCAAGCAAAAATTTGGTGATGTTACAGCATTACCAGTCATCTGCCTGCTCAGGTTCTCTA